CAAAGGATAAATGTTTGAGGGGATAAATACCCCATTCTCCATGATGTGCTTATTTCACATTGCATGCCCATATCGAAACATCTTATGTACCACATAAATATATACATAAATACATATATAAAAATATATACACCTACTATCTACTCACAAAAATTAAAAGTAATAATTAAAAAGAAAAAAACTCTACCAGGTCTGGTATGGATTAAGTTCAAAAGAAATTTGGAGTCACGAACTCTAAATTAATTTATCTATCTCTCTCTCTCTCTCTCTCTCTCTCTCTCTCTCCCCCCACACTGGAATACCATTCAGCCATAAAAAAGAATGAAACCATGTCACTCACAGCAACATGGATAGAACTGGAAGACATTATGTTAAGTGAAATGAATCAGGAACCAACAGTTAAACACTGAATATTCTCACTCATAGGTGGAAGCTAAAAAAAATAATTGATCTCATAGAAGTAAAAAGTAGAACAGAGGATGCTGGAGGCTGGGAGGTGGAGGGAGAAGGGGGAATGGGGAGTGATTTGCTAAAGGATACAAAATTACAGCTAGAAAGGAATAAGTTCTACTGTTCTATACCACTGTAGGATGACTATAGTTAACATTAACATACATTTTCAAATAGCTAGAAGAAAGGATATTGAATGTTTCCAATACAAAGGATAAGTGTTTGAGACAATGGGTGTGTTAATTACCCTGATCTGATCACTACACATTATATATATTAAAACATCATTATATCTCATGAATATATGCAATTATACATCAATAGAAAAATAAAATGAAACATTAATTTTGATTTAAAAATATTGCATTCTTATATTTATCTTGATTATTATTGAGTGTGTTAGCAACCCCCTCGATTTTATTCAATCCCAGGTTTGAGTCTAGTGCCTCACAGCGGGTGTCCTTCACTCTCAAAGGGCAAATGCTGTTTGTGTTGCTGGCCTGAGACCTTGAAGCAACTTTTATGACTCCAAATTCCTTTTGAACTTGATCCACGCCAAGTTCTGTACAGTTTTTTTTATTATTATTTTTAATTTTTGTGGGTACATAGCAGGCACATGTATTTATGGGGTACATGAGATGTTTTGATGCAGGCCTGCAATGTGAAATAAGCACATCATGGAGAATGGGGTATCCATCCCCTCAAGCAGTTATCCTTTGAGTTACAAATAATCCAATTACACTCTTTATTTTAAAATGTACAATTATGTTATTATTGACTAGAGTCACCCTGTTGTGCTATCAAATAATAGGTTGTATTCACTGTTTCTAACTATTTTTTTTTTGAGATGGGGTCTTGCTCTGTTGCCCAGGCTGGAGTGCAGTGGCACGATTTGGGCTCAACTGCAACCTCTGCTTCCCAGGTTCAAGCAGTTCTCCTGCCTCAGCATCCCAAGTAGCTGGGATTATAGGCACGTGCCACCACGTCCAGGGAATTTTTGTATTTTTAGTAGAGATAGAGTTTTGCCATATTGGCCAGGCTGGCCTCGAAGTCCTGACCTCAGGTGATCCTCCTGCTTCGGTCTCCCAAAGTGCTGGAATTACAGGCGTGAGCCACCGTGCCAGGCCTCTATTTTTTTTTTTTTAATATATCTCTTAACTGTCCCAATCTTCCCCTCACCCCCTTCCCAGCCTCTGGTAACCATCCTTCTACTCTTTATATCCATGAGTTCCATTGTTTTGATTTTTAAATCTTATAAATAAGTAAGAACATGTGATGTTTGCCTTTCTCTGCCTGCTTTATTTCACTTAACGTAATGATCTCCAGTTCCATCCATGTCATTGCAAATGACTGGATCTCATTCTTTTTTACGGCTGAATAGTACTTCATTGTG